TATCTTCAAAATAACAGTAGTGATGACGATAAACGAAAATGGATTAAGAGTGCTAACAGTCAAATTAGGATTTTGAATAAAGCCATTAGAAAAAAAGATTAGAATCATGGTATTTTGGTTAAGTTCCAGAGCGATCTTTGTTATTTTAAACATTTTAGAAATCACCTCAAAAGCTAGCTAGGTCCTCATTGTGGGCGAGGTATTTCTAAAAAACGTAGCGATAGACTAAAATGGGAGGATCTTCAGTCGGCATTTTCCAGTAGAGTTCGTAATGGAGTCATTATCAATTTGAAACACAAAGATATAGTTCAGTTTTTAAATGATGCATTTTTTCTATTTAAATCTCGTATAACAAACATTTTAAAAACATGTCCGATGATCAAAGTAAACACGGTATTTTGCGGGGAATTTATTAAAAAAGCAGTAAATGAAAAAGAAGAAGAAAGATGAGAATTGAAATATTTTAATACGAAAAATGAAATTATCGATTGCGGTACTACCCTCACCGAATGGTTTGCTGAGTTCGTTATCGAAAATTTTTTTAATAAACTGCAGGAATTTAGTGAAAAAGATAGCGGTTTCGCGCTTAGTAAAATAATACATTTAGAAGTGAATATTAATCAATCTGGCTTTAGCAATAATGCTGGATCATCCTATATCAGACTTCCTCAACAGATTGCAATTAAACATGCTTGCGTTAACGTAAAAAATTATGATGATAACGCATGCTTTCTTTGGGCAATAATATCCGCCTTATATCCGGTAGCCGTGAATGCAGGCAGAACCTCTTCTTATCCACATTACAGCTCGGGCATATTTAATTTAGATGGTATTGAAGCACCTGTATCATTAGCTGACATTACAAGATTCGAAAAAAATAATGACATTTCAGTCAATATTTTCATCTTAGAATTAACAAGCAAAAATAACTACGTTACCTCACCAGCACGATTATGTAAAAATAAAAGGACAAAACATGTAAATCTACTACTGATTCAAAACATATATTATCCAAATAATTGTGAAAATATACCCAACGATACTCCTATTACATATCATTATTGTTGGATAAAAAACGTATCCCGTCTAGTTTCATCACAGACAAACAAGCACCATGTTTATTTTTCAACCGAAGAGCAGCTAGTTCAACATGATGAATATTGCGTTAAGAGAAATAACTGTAGGATTTCATTTTCCTCATAAAAGCATATACAATTCAAGAATTTCATTAACAAACAAAAACTACCGTTTATCGTGTATGCTGATTTTGAGTCTATATTAAAACCATTCACTGACACACAAAATTTTTCAAAAACTCAAAAATATCAGAAACATGTTCCTTTCAGTGCAGCATATTATTTTAAGTGTAACTATGATGATACCTTATCTTTTTACAAATCGTACAGAGGTGAAGATTGCATGGTTTGGTTTGAAAATCAGTTGAACGAATTAGCAAAGTTTATTCAATCGAAACATAAAAATATCATTCCAATCGTTGTGAATCCGTCTATGGATAGAATTTGTTGCCATACCTGTGAAAATAGTTTCAAATCTACGGATAAAATCGTAGTTGATCATGATCATTATACCGGGGAACAGAGAGGCTTTGCGCATGAACTATTCCATACCGGTGGTGTTCCATAACCTTTCAGGGTATGATAGTCACTTTATAATACCCCGTTTAGCTAAGCATAACAAAGTAACGTGTTTACCAGTTAACAAGGAAAATATATAAGCTTTACTCAATTCCATGATGAAACTGATATAAAATAAAATTCATAATTCCATCTTCGATTGATTTAAATTTGAGATCAAATTCCCTCCGTACCTTGTTCGCTTCGTCACCGATAACGATTTTCATATCTGAGCTTAACTTTTCCATCATTTTATTTAAGTCATTGATATATATATATATATATGTATATATACTAAGTGACATATAAATCCGAACACCCAGTTTAAATGGTTTTATTTTAATAAAAGTTGTGTAAGTACTTAATGAAGCTTAATAAGTAAATGATAAAAATTTCAAAATGATTGCACTGCTTTAAAGCCCTTTGACCTTTAATAATGTGTGGATGCACCCTGATGTGCTACGCATTCTCCAACGCGCCTAGGCATGCTTCTGATCAGGTGGTCAATGTCCTCCTGTGGTATCTTATTCCAAGCAACCACCAGCTCCTCTCGAAGTGCTTCTAGAGTCAGAGGAGGACGTTGCAAATTGAGCAATCTCCTACCCATCATATCCCACACGTGCTCAATTGGGGATAAGTCGGGAGATCTTGGTGGCCATGGTAACAATGTGACATCATTATGTTGAAAGAAGTCTATTGTGACTCTTGCAACATGTGGTCGGGCATTATCTTGTTGGAAAGTTGGATCTGCCAGGGTGTCAAGATAGGGTAAAAGATTGGGTTCTAGAACTTCGTGGATATAACGCTGCGCGTTCATGTTACCTCTGATGAAGATTAAAGGTGACCTGGAACCATAAGCTATAGCACCCCAAGCCATAACTCCAACAGTGTGATGAACATGTCTTCCAACAAAAAACTGTGGATTCCTTCTTTCACCACGTCGCCTTCTAACCCTGGCACGACCATCGTGCATGCCTAAACAAAATCGAGACTCGTCACTAAAGACAATACTGTTCCATTCCTGATCCCAGAGTGACCGTTGTCTGCACCACTCAAGGCGATTACGTCGGTGTTCTCGAGTTAAAGGGAGGACCCAGTGTGGCCGGTATGAAAACAAGCCAAAACTTCTCATTCATCAGTAAACACTTCGCATGCCAATAGGTCTTCCGTGTTCTGCAAACCATTCATTTGCAATGGACCTGGTAGTGGAGAAACGGTCCCTTAAGGCCAATAATCTTAGGCGGCGATCTTCACGGTCTGTTGTTCTACGGCGGCGTCCAGTGCCCCTTGCTCTTTGCGTACGGCCTTCTCGAAGCCATGCCTGACAACACCTAACCACAGTGTCTACACTTCTTTGCACTCTAACTGCAATTGCCCGAAAAGAAGGTCCAGCTTCCCGAAGTCCCACTATACGGCCCCTATCAAACTCACTAAGTTGACGAAATCGTACAGGTCTCCGTACTCTAGGCATCGTAACCGATGGTAAAGGATGTCAAGAACCACAATCCGCCAATGTTGATTCTTTACTGCGGCTGAAATATTCATTTTTAGAGCGTTAGTGAATTAAAAAAAGCAGTAAAAAACCGGAATGTCCAACTGATAAGGCTGAAAATTTTTTCACTTGTTATTTACAGTAAGATAAATACATTCACCAACTTTTATTAAAATAAAACCATTTAAACTGGGTGTTCGGATTTATATGTCACTTAGTATACAAGCTGCTTCGAATTAATGTTGTTGTTGTTCATTTTTTCTACTGTATCACTAAAAGTTCTTTGGTTTTGATTCAAGATATTTAATTGTTTATCTAAATCAGCAAGACTTCGGCCTTGTTTATTTAAAATTTCATCGTGACTAATTTGCTTAAGTTCCTGTTCAGTAATGACACTTTTTAAAATATCAATTTGACCTTTTAGCGCTTTTGATGTCTCAATATTATTTATAAGCGATAAGCGCATTATCTACATAACGCTTACACGATCCCATTTCTTCATCTACATATTTGATCACTTTGATACGCGCATTATCTACATAACTGTTACAAGATCTAATTTCTCCATCTACATATTGTTTATTTACTATATCTTTCCCATTTATTGGCACTATAGAACTACAAAGTTTCAAATTTTCAAAGCTGACTTCTCCTTCTGCATTTACTTCGAAAGGTAACTGTGGTTGTTGTCGACGTTGTATGGAATGATGTGCACCACCACCACCACCACCACCAACATACTGACCAAACTTGTTGATGCTCATCGTGATACTGTCATCGGATATATCTATACACGCCCCTTTATATTACCAGCTTCTTTCAGTTCATTTATAATGGCAACAATTTCATTATTATGCGATGTATTACCAGCGCTTTGCGAAGCAATTAATAATTTTAATCTATCTACAAGTTCATTAACATCATCCCAATATACATACTCTATGGGTTTGTCGTTATAGGTCAAATACATTCCTTGTCCGGTATGCTGTGACGACGACGACGACGACGACGACCGAGCTTTTTGAGACCCTATTGTTATGCATAATGGTTTAATTATATTAATATATTTGAACATAGTAGATCCTTTTAAACGTTGACGGCTATCTTTGTGTACATTAGATATATTTAAAATCTTTTTGTAGTCTGATAAATCATTTTGATCATATTTAGGGTTTTTGTAGAAAATTAGACTATAAAGTCCTTGTGTTCCACGAAATCGGTTACCATCTATAATTATATCACCCGTATGTGTATCAAAATTCATATGTTTACTTCCGATACGCCACTGAGATGCTACAGAATCATAAGTTGGTCCATATACTAGATCAATTGTATTAGATTTACTCCAAAACTTCTGCACTGGCTCCCGAGCTATTTCTGGATACTGTGACATAAAGGGTGTATCTTCAGGTTCGAAAAACGTATCATCATCATCATCATCATCCGCCATCTTAATTTCCTCTTCTTCTTTATCACTGGTTTCTTCCTTTTTAATTATACTCAAATCATCGTTTTTCTTGTTTGCTATTTGCCGAAGCGGTTCGGTTATTGGTCGAAAGAGTTTCTTAATATTTTCATCATCGTCAGACTTACCAATTTTCAAAGCTAGATACTTTCGTCTAACATCTCTAGACAGTTGTTGAATTTTTCTCTGCAAGAGACTACTGTGCTTGGCGTTCTTCAGCTCATGCAAAACTGATGTTCAGAGACAGATATCATACGCATATATACTTATCGAAACCCTTACGATATCGTCCATGTTTCAATTCAAAATCTTCAACTATCGTTATATTACCATATTTTTCACGCCAGCATCGCGAACACATTTCATTAAATTGTTCATAGGTAAGATCCGGTGAAACATGTTCATGAAATGCATACCGTAAATTCTTGTCATCCTGTTTGAAAAGAACTATAACATTACAGTTATCACGTATAAGCTGTTTCGGTATTTTAGAATACGTTTGACATAGGTACATAACATCCACGGATTTATGTCTACCCATTGAAAAATATTCCCTACATTTTTGCTGTTTTTGGCATGCAATATCATCAAAAATAAATATAGAGTTATTCGTTGCTTCTAATGGATCGATAATTTCTTCGTTATCTTTATATGGGAAATATTTAACGCATTTTGTCTTCGCTAAAACGTTTTGTAGTAAAGTATATTTGGGCTGTAGCAATGTTTTGGAGTAGAAAAAGACATTTTGAAAACGTGCACCGTTACGATTGAACAGCAAACTCAATGCTGCGTTTGTATTGCCACATCCACTAGGTCCACAAAATATGGCTCTGAATGAATTCGGTAATAATTTTCCATGTTTGCTCGGAAGGTTGTTATCTTCAGCAAAATCTAAATTTTCGATAGGTAGTGCAGTTGCTTGTTGCTGAATACGCATTTCGATATTGACTGACACACTTAAAGTTGATGCAGATCATTATAAATATAATCACAATATGTGCGTGTGCTCATTATTATATTAGCATCCAAGCGAGGAGGAGGAGAAGGTGTTCTGAACTCGCTAATCGATCGGCTTCCCATTGAAGCTTCATCTACCTAAGTACCAATATTGCGGTCCTGGAGCTCATTTGCAAAAAGGGTTAGACGAGGTGATCCTGGAATCAACGGTTTAGACGCTGCTTGCAAACAACACGATATAGCTTATTCAAAATCTTCATCTATAACCGATCGTCATAAGGCTGATGAAATTTTGGAACAACAGGCTTGGAATAGAGTAAGGTCGAAAGACGCAAATTTTGGTGAAAAAGCTGCTTCGTGGTTTGTTACTAACGCAATGAAGGTGAAACGTAAACTTGGGATGGGCATGAAACCGGCTTCATTTAGAAGAGATGTTGTTAAAAAAAATTCCAGACATTTAAAGAAACACAACCCAGCAGCGGCGGCGGCGGATTTGACTAATAAAAAAGAGCTAATCAAGTCGTCCACGATAGCATTGAGAGCCGCACGGATGGCAATAAAGAAAGCTGGAGGACGGAAAAATATTCGAGTTCCGCGAGTGATACCGTTTGAAGCAAAAAGTGGAGGATTTTTGCCGCTGTTGCCGTTGTTTGCAGGACTCAGCGCCTTGGGGAGTATTGCGGGGGGGTGCTAGTGCAGTCGCCAAAACTGTAATCGACTCTAGAAATGCTAAACGAAAGCTTGAGGAAGATCAACGACATAACAAAGCAATGGAAGAAATTGGAAAACAAGGATCCGGTCTGTTCTTACGCAAAAATGCTCGAGGCGGTCTCGGTTTATTTTTAAAAAAGCAACAACATCCAAAAAACTACCAATAAAGCTACCCGATAGAGCTCTATACGATGTGGACTTACGGAAATTTGTCAAAAAGCTTAAAATAGCACATTTTCGCGGTGTATTTATGCGAGATACTATACCTAAAGGTGGTGGTGCTAGAACAAACGAATGTGGTATAATTAATTTAGATGAACAAAAGAACAAAGGAACGCATTGGGTAGCATACAGAAAAAATAGTAATGTAGCTGAGTATTTTGAGAGTTTTGGTAATCTTAAACCTCCACGTGAACTCGTTAAATATTTAAATGCTGCTATCGTCTACAATAATGACTGTTATCAAGATTATGATCAAAGCATCTGCGGTCACCTTTGTTTGGAATTTCTCTATAAAACTAACTGACCCACCCTAGCCTCTCTCAGTCATGTCTCAGATATTCACCTTGAAGAGTCATACGTCAACGTTGTCCATTGATTTTGTGAATCCGATTAGATTAGAGGATGGGTTCGATTACGGTTTGAGTTTATTGTCTTTTTATTCCTATAATAGTGTACCTAACATTGATGAGGGACATAAAAAATATCGTCATTCCTACGGGTGCGTATGAAATATTATATTGAATCCTATATTAAGAAACACATTGTTGACGGTGGTGGTGGTGCTGGTGAGGGTGGTGATCGAGTGAAAGACGTTTTTTCGCTGAAACTTAATCTGAATACGCTCAAGTGTGAACTGTACAGTTCAGTGCATGGCATTAACTTTCAACCAAAGGATTCCATCGCATACGTTTTAGGATATTCTCCATCAAGAGTCTTGGAACCTAGGATTTATCACCAATCAGATCTTCCCGTTAATATAGTTAAAGTTAGAACTATCCATATCGATAGCAATATTACTGTTGGAGCTTTCTACAACGATAGACCTTCACATACCATATACGAATTCTCTATTACAGACGAAGCTGGGTGTGCAATTAACGAAAGTCCTAAAAACTTGATTTATCTACCAGTGAATCAACGTGAAATAAATAACATTACTTTGCTGGTGCTCGATCAAAATTTTGAATTAGTGAGCTTTAGAGGAGAAGAAATCATCATACGTTTGGAGTTGAAAAAATAATAATGGTTTTGGTGATTCCACCCCACCCCCTCAAAAAACACAAATATAAACCATATATTCCGGTTAATGCTCTATCAGTTTTTAGTGGTCATTCGAAGAGTGCTGACGTGCTGCATTCCATACTTACTATAGCCAACCGATTATTTTTACAATCGCTCAATTACGATGTTGTCAAGTCAAGTGTTCGACGTTTACGAAAAACCGATATTTGATGATACAATCTAAGGCGTTAAAGAGTTCACATATAGACCGTATATTCCGTCTTTTCTCAATAACGATGAAATCACCATTACTATTAATCAGAGCAATGCATGGCTTTTGATGTATGATGCCGCTATTGTAATTAAGGGGAAATTAAAAAGAACTGCTGGCGCTGGAACAGTTTCCTTTGTGAACAATGCCGGAGCGTTTTTCTTCGACTCTTGTACATACGAACTTAATGGATCCATATTGGACACCGTTCGAAATCCGGGTATTGTAAGCACCGTTCGAGGATACTTATGTTACAGTATTAACGATTCAAGACATTTAGCCACAACAGGATGGAACTATCCTTCTGTATCTATTCTTGATGCTACCACAGGCTATTTTAGCCTAAGAGTTCCACTTAAACACTTACTGAATTATTTTAATGACTATAAATTTGCTGCATATGGGAACATACTATACGTCTAGTGAGAGCACGTAATGATAATAACTGTATGCTTATTGCTGAAGCTGCTGGCGCCGCCGCCGCCACCGCCGCCGGTACTACACAAGCCAAACTTGAAATTGATGAGATCAAACTGCTAGTTAAACATATTTACCCCAATGATGTGATTAAAGTGAATCTACTAGAAAATATTAAAAACGATAAGCCGGTGTATGCACCATACAGAAAGTGGTCTTTATACGAACTTCCAGCTCTAACAGTTAATGCTAAACGTGAAATATGGCAGATACAAACGTGTGCTGCTATAGAGTGTCCACGATATGTAATAGCGGCTTTTCTAACAGATAAATTCGATAAAGTTAATCAGGATCCAACTTTATTTGATCATATTGATGTAACAGACGTTCGACTGCTCATAAATGGGGAATACTATACCCATGAGCGTTTGAGAATTGACTTTGATAAAAACGATTATGTGGACGCTCACATGAATTAATGTTGGACCAGCGAAAGATTGCAAGCCGAAAGAATGCGGACAAAAAATTGCGAAGTTGTCAGATGTTCTACATAAAATGCGGTCCATACATATTAACATATTTAAGATATAGAATTGTTCCGCTGAATTTGGCAATGTAGCTGGAAAACCCAGGCCGCAGGTAAACATCCGGTCGCTGATTGGTCCAAAACTCTTATCTTATCTGAAACTAGAATAACGTGCCGATGGCACGGTCATTTATAAACCTACTCCCATAGGCGTAGGCAGTTGGCAAATACTTTGAAAATATAATTTACTGTTTAGTGGTGATAATGGAATTCAAGCATGGGAAAGTTATTCACAGCCAGGCAAGGGAAATAATAGCAAACGTGATACGTGCTTGCGATGCAGAAGCGGCTAACAATACTTTCGTTTATCCACTGGTAGCTAGAAATGCAAGGGCGGCATATTATACGGGTGTTAGTGAACGAACTATAAGTAAAATTAGAAAAGAAGATAAAGACAGGCAAAATGCAACCTCCACACAGCCTTTAGCTTCTCCCGGAAAAAAGAGATCACGCCCTTCTGTGATCCAAAAAATTGATGGAGTCGATTTTTCCATTATTCGGAGAATGATAGAAAAATTTTACTGTGATTTTAAAGTGGTACCTACTTGTAGTAAACTTCTAATCAAACTGAAGGAAGAAATGGAATTTCCATTTGGTAAAGAATCGTTGAGGCTGCTTTTAAAAGCAAAAGGATTTTACTGGCGTAAATGCCACAACAAAAGGAAATTACTAATGGAAAGACCCAGTATTTTACATTGGCGATACAAGTATCTTAGGTCTATTAAAAAGTTCCGGGAAGAAGGAAGGCATATTATTTATTTGGACGAAACTTGGGTTGATAATGACCTCACTTTCAAGAAATGCTGGCAAAGCGAAGAAATTATGGGTGTCCTGAGCAATATAAGTTCTACAGGTAATAAAGTTTCTTTCACCTCGATTTTGCTTATTATACATTTTTCTCAATTTTGGAATATTCTTAATAAGTGCTCATTTAATTTGTCTAATTGAATACATAATCCCTTGCAAGTATTTTTTTCTCAAAAATATGTTTTTTATACATAGTGATTCAAAAAGGTGTTGGCAAACTTAAAATAACACTAAAATGAGGCTATTTATTCATTTCCAGGACGACTTATAATTGTTCATGCGGGTTCGCAAGATGGTTTTGTTCCTGGAGCCTGTCTCATTTTCAAGGCTGGCTGTGCCACTGGTGATTATCACGGTCAAATGAACCAAGAAAATTTCACGAAGTGGCTTACTGAAAAACTATTTCCTAACATTCCTCCTAATAGTATTATAATAATGGATAATGCACCTTACCATTCAGCTTTGGAAGACAAGCCTCCAACTAGATCTTCTCTAAAAAGAGACATCATCACGTGGTTGAGCAAAAAAGGTATAGAGCATGATCCTAATGCTAAAAAAATGGAGCTTTATGAAATAGCTTGTCTACATAGGCCACCATCTGATGAGAAAAATTATAAGATAGATAATTTAATAAGAAGTTTCGGACACACCCCACTTCGAACGCCACCCTATATGTGTCAGTTTAATCCCATAGAGATGATTTGGGCACAAGTAAAATTTTTCATTAGAAGCCATAATACAAGCGGCGAATTTACTATAAAAAAACTAGATGAAATTTCTAATAAGGCCATCGCTTCAGTAAGTGCCAGTGACTGGCAAAAGGTTATTGGACATGTTATAAAAATTGAAGATGAATATTGGGAAAAAGACAGTCTCATTCAAGAAATACAGGAAGAAATAATAATCAACATAGGAGGTGAAAGTGATAGCAATGACAGTTCCTCAGACAGTGATCATGACTCTAATCAGGATTGAAACTATACTAGATTGGCTACCTTTTAGAATTTTTAGATATTCATTTATTATACTATTGGTTTGTGGCTTTTAGTATCTCAGTAGAAAGTCTAATTCTATGTGTTGTTTATGGGTTATTTCATCAAGAAATTACTTTTTGTTTTCCTATATTTTTCTATTCAGTCAGATATTTTTGACTTGTTGTATTCTATTTTAGAAGAATGCATAATTTGTTTTGCTGTTCAATCATAATGCGTACATAGGAATATTACTTGTTGCCTAAAAAATATATTTATTTTGTTCTCAATATTCAGTGTTTGTGTATATTTATTTCTTATAATGTATGTTTGGTATCACGTCATTATGAATCGCAAAAAAATATTAATACTACCAGTTGTAATAAAATATAAATTCAATTAATAATTCAAGTCTCTCCGATCTCCGCCTATGACTCCATATAAAATCGTCTAATGGTAAGGTTTTTTCATCGCATTTCCCCCTTTCGTCCCTAGCAATCTTTGGCTGGTCGATCAATATATAGATTTTTATCCGAGTTATAAAAATACCTCATTCAACCCTGCACTACTTGACTATTCATCATTTAAAAATCGTGCCATTTTTGTTATTGACTGGTCTAAACGTAGCGAATCAATAAAATCGACAACAGTAGATGTGATATTAGACATTGAATTGGCAAAAGGGTTTCCCACCAATACACGTGTTTACTGTATTATTATTCATGATTGTGTAATGGAACTGCATCCCCTCTCCGAAATAATTAAACAATATATGTAAAATCATCCTTTTGATTCGATCATTTACTTGTAGTTTATCGAATAGAACCAACAATGGCTACAATGTGCTTTGTTGATCTGCAAGGATTTTATCTTCAAAATCATGGTTTTGTGGTTAAAGAAATGTCGATACTGGTTGGAAGTCAAAGCAATTATTTATTATTCAGATCTATCAATAAATACAGTTCATTAACCTCTAAAGATAAAGCTACGATACGGTATACTGAACGGTATCATGGACTCAGATATGAGAAGGGCTACGTGGATTATAGTTTACTTGATGAAATCCTCAGGAGTCATTTAGCTGATGTGAATATGGTATACGTAAAAGGACAGTGCAAACGTCAATTTTTAATCGATAGATTAAATGATATGCAAATTACTAAGCCCAATATTATCAATGTTGAAGATTGTGATTCGCGTTTAACCACCACCACCACAAAATGTGAGAAAAATGAGAAATGTATACCACTGTGTTTGAATCATGATGGCGTATATGGTATATGTGCTCAAAATCAAAGAATGGGTATATAAATGTCTACCTATGTAATTCACTCATAGATTCAAACATGCAGTAGTAGCAAGTGCTTCTGAGACATCACATTGAAAATATTCGAGTAATTAAACAGCAAATTCGTCAATATGAAGATACAAAGCATACACTTGAAAAACTACAACGGCTATCCATTCAAGATGACGACGACGAGGCTAAATGGAGACGAAATGTGTTTCACAATTATGAAAGATTTCAACGTTTAAATTGTAAATTATCACGAAGAATACATTTAATTAATGAATTGTAATTACATATATCAATAAAAATGTATTAGGCTTATCTTGGTGTTTTTTTATATAATGTAATGATTACCTTCCTAAACGTTAGTTAATTGTCAATCATAGTTGCATTAACACCTGATTATATTGTACTATGTGCTTTGGTGAACGGTGTTTTTTACGTTCAACATCCATTAAGAGTGGAGGAAATATTCATTTGTTTTAATGAAAATAATACCAAAAACGAAAATTGGCCTTCAAGATGGCAGCGCATGTCTGCTACTATGCTCAACAATGATGTTGAAGCATTTGAAGTTACAGTGCCAGAACATGTTACCGAATATAAATTACGATTCGTACTTCAGGAACACAACTACAACGATACTGCGTGGAACTATTTTCCATCCCCACCACCACCACTAAATGAGACGCCTAAAGAATATATAGATAAGCTGCCAGCATATATGGTTTATTACATAGCTGTTTGTATATCGCTGCTGATCATCAAACTTCTAGTTTGTTTATACCTTCCGAGCAGAAGAAATGACATTTGTTGTTTTTCGTAAACAGCTGGACGATCTTCGTTATGCCACCAAATATATTGGCGATTATCATTTCAAACGAATATTTATTAAGCATGCGTGTGCGTGCAACTATGGGTATAAATATTCCATCAACATTCTTAGATGAGCTACTAGAACCCTGCTGGGATGATCATACTCCGGCAAACGACAACTGTTGTGACATCATTGATGGTCCATACAAGTCGCATAAACTAGATTGTGATACATGTATGAAGTCTTATATTAAATAATTTATAACTCTGCTTGTTTCTTTTATTCACCTTTTCTCGTTTATGTCACATACGTTACGTGTCACGTATGCCACATACGTCACGTACGTCACGTGTCACGTATGTCACGTACGTCACGTGTTACGTATGTCACGTACGTCACATGTAATGGACGTTAGGTGTCACGTATGTCACGGACGTCACGTGCATGGTACGACTAATGGTGAGCAATGTGCGCTGGAGAAAGTGGTGACTATTCGTAAATAAAATAAACATATCTTTCACAATGCAATTTAATTATATACAGATACAAGCTTAGATAACAGAGTTTTTAGTTGATGTAACAAATCCTCGTTGGGGCATGGTACTCCAAATAGAGTCCAATGAAATGGTCCGGTCGCAACAACTTTTCTTGTAAACTTGTTGAATTTATAGTAATTACTTTGACGGAAAAAGTAAATATGACCATCAATCCATCGAAGTGCGAGAGAAATATCTTCAGGTAACCCAGGAAATATGTCTCTTATCCGTCCTCTGTTCAACACATCAGTAAAATCGTTAGAAAATTCTATATATGATATATTATTATAAAAGGTATAGGACCGTCCTGCGTTTGATTGAAAAATAGCATTGATTCGAGCCCTATCGAGTATATCAATTGAAAAATTATCAAGAAATTTAATGGTAGGGAATGATGCTGAGAAATATTTGTTTGGAGACACAATGGTAATCAAGTCACCGTTTGTTGATTGGAAAATATGTTGTAAAGTGTATTGACGTAATTCTGTAGGAACATAATCGACAAGAAGTTCAGGCTGAGATGGGATAATCATTTCGTTTAAGTCTAGTTTCCATATATACGTAAACATATCATGTGCAATATATAATCGGAGCAATGGCTAAAAACATAAAATCTGGTACAATATCACACAAATTTTTCTGCTGCTTACGAGGTCTTATAAATGTTGTTGTTGTTGTTGTTCTTGTTGTTCTTGGGATCGGCTGCTTACGAGTTGTAGGTCTTATAGTTGTTGTTGTTGTTGTTGTTGTTGTTGTTGTTTTTGGTATACGTACCGTTGTAAACTTTGGGATTGGATCATATTTGTTTAGAACTAAGAACTAAGAAAACTAATACGATCTTGGATTTTTCATTTATATCTAAATGGATTTCTCTACAGGTGCCGCCGCTAGAGTCAGGGAAGTAAGCATGTCCTAAAACGCCGCCGGCATCATCTAATGTGAATGGACATTCATCATTACCCATGCACCCATGCAGTTTGCTCTGAAATGATGAATCTTGCTAACCATGGTTATAGTAATATCAGGAGGATCTTGAGTGGGATTGGTAACCATTGTGAATGTTAAGTTTGAAACATTTTGCCACATCTGAAAAGCCATTTCTGCATGTTTTAGGGCATCACTTGTTCGTTGAGGGAAATACCATTTCTAGGCATGTTTCCGAAATGGAAAACTTGCTCTAAATTCGGCATCACTGTGTTGACAACGCGGACGACGCATCAATTCAATTTTTGTATTATTCAACAATCCATCAACCGGTAAATTATACTTTTCTTGATAGTTAATCAGCAGCGTAGAGAGATCGGGTCTATTATCGATAATATGTTCATATTTCTTCAGATATACAATAGCATCGGTTTCGGAGAAATCGTTGTCGTCCGCATACACACATGTGAAGGTTAGCATCAAAACTAATACGTCTACCCTATTCAACATCTTGTTTGAGAATTAAAATATTAAATAGCAAAATAGCCCCGCTCCCCCTCACCAACCACCTCCCGCGCGCCCACACACACACACACACACGCACACGCACACGCACACGCACACGCACACGCACTCGCACACGCACACACACACACCGCCATCTTTTTTTAACGCTCCCAACCTTCTTGACTCCCCCTGTATACACTACACCTCACCTTATCGGTCACACATCCGCATGCGAACGCCGTCGCGCCGATAACGCAAACCTGCAACCGTCCATACACCGCCATCTTTTTTTTAACGCTCCCAACCTTTTGACTCACCCTGTATACAACCTTCTTGACTCCCCCTGTATACACTACACCTCACCTTATCGGACACACATCCGCATGGGAACGCCGTCGCGCCGATAACGCGAACCTGCAACCGTCCATCGGCTGTTTTATCTCACTTCCGCTGTAGAATGCCCTTAGCTCTACTACTATCATATCCTCCTAATTTGGTAATATAACCAACTAAAGTCCTAATGATTAGATCAATATATCAATATCAATATATCAAATCCCATGGCTTCTGCTATTCAGCATAAAAATGCTGAACAGCTTCACTTTTGCTGAACAGACTCATTGTTCTACAAACGTAAAGTCCCACATTGTAATAAAAAAATCTTGTGGGTAATGAATTTTTGCAATTTAATTAGCAGCTGCGTTATTTGAAAAATATTCAAATTGAATTAATCCTGTTCCTTGAATCCATACTATTTTCTCCTCTTCAAAAAGACTGGGGTTGGAAAGTTATGTTTTCTTCTTGAATCGTAAGAAATTTCAGGCTGATAAAATAGATATAAATCAAAAATATGAACATTTTGATGCGAATAGATATTTCACGTGGATAAAACGTCCCTCATCGACCAGTGACGTGCTGCACCGGATTTCCACGTTTTATCGACGTTTATCGATTATATTATAAGAATACAGGAGGAAATTGTAACAAACTAATATGTTTACGTTAATTAATCGGTTAAGTGACTGCAATATAACCGGATTTTATTCGCGACAGCGGAAATTGGTATAGAGGTGTACACACGTCGTAACATTCACGTTTTATCCACGTGGTGTGGTTATATCGGACAAATTTAAGCGAAATTTGGTCCATAACTGACGTCGAATAAACGTAGAATTTTCCCTAAATTTCAACTTAGACCAAATATCCACGTCGATTACATGACACCGTGCTGGCTGGGATAGGAATGGTCGTCGTAAATTCCTATACTTCGTCCTGTGGGTTACGTCTTGACGTCGTCGTGGGTTTAGGGGTTCTCACCGTCGTATTTTCTGATTGCCCCTCGTATCTTCGGATTCTCCTCGTAATTCCGTCCTCGGTTTTATAGCATACGTCTTCAATTGGATGAAACTGATGAAAGCTTCGTCTTGGCGCCGTCATGGATTTTACGCCTTGTCTTGACGTCGTATGGCACTATCACAAATGCAGGTCCATTCACCACAAACTGAGTCCCCGTGCACATTCAAAATATGTCCGCAGTACACGTACGTAGCCTTCGGATTGCTCTCGAACCCGGACGAGCCCCCAAAATTTATGTGGGAGTTACAATGCGTGTGAAGTTAGGTCCAAAAAGCTGGCTCCACAATCCTACCGGCCGCTCGATTACAGCGGACCGAATAAATGCTGTACGCCTGCGATACGCCGTGGCCGTAGCGTTACTCATAGAAGCCCGTGACGCGCATACGAGGTGAGTGCGGTAATTATATATATTCTATCTGTGCTTACGAGTCTTATGCTATTGCGGTATTGCATTAACTGGTTCTGCAGAGTTTGTAGGTTCGTATCTAAAGCTAGTCGTACACCTCAACTCATAACAAATAGTCCTGTAGTGTATATTTTGTTCGTGAAAACCTGCAGATGTGCTTCGATGGGCTTTTCAGGGTTTAAAGTACACAACAAGAGCTATAATATCAGTTATCGTAATGTTGTTACAAACGGTCTTACACCCCAGCTCCAAAGAAAGAAGTCTGTCGGGTACAGTACGCGATACTCTCTGCAATTTAGAATTTTTTTTTCGTGAAAACCTGCAGATGTGCGTCGATGGGCTTTCCAGGGTTTAGATTTCTGCTGGCAGCGTCAGCGCTCTCCCGTTGTGAAGTTACGTTTTCTTTTTGAATTGTAGAAAATTTCAGGCTGATAAAACAGATGATATAAATCAAAAGCATGAAGAATGTGATGC